CATTAACCATCGCAATGCTCTCACGTTAGGTATCACTTTGCATAGAAGTCCCTGTGAGAAGCGCCGGATTAATAGTTCACTATGTACTCTGTAAAATGCAACAGTAGAACAGCGCCACTGACACAAGAGTGGAACGAATATGACCCACTCGTATAGGTGTCTGTTTCACCGCTGCATACAGAGTTCTGATAAATTGGAAGCTAATTTCCCTCTCTTTTGCCTAGGTTGAGGTGGCGCCCGATGGACTTCTATTCGCGGCGAGCTGTCGGTGCGGTCAAGATGGCGCCGTCGCCGCCACCGACCACGACGAGGCAAGGCGAGGGCGGCCGGGGGAGGTATTCCCACGGATAATGAAATTATTGACGCTTTTGGCGTTATGACCGATAAAACAGTGAGCATGCGCGTACACTGCGGCGCGGGGGTGCGGGCGGAGCGTTAACCCGTGACCACCACCGCCTCTCTCTCTCTCTCTCTCTCTCTCTCTCTCTCTCTCTCTCTCTCTCCCTCTCTCTCTCCTTTCTCTCTTTCTCTTCCTCTCTCCCTCCATCCCTTCCTCCATCACCCCCTTGCATCACCACCACCTGTCTCTTTCAACACCTTTGCGTCGCTTAGATGTTATATTACTTCTAAAAATAATGACGAGCAAATGTGTGGGATTTCTTAATCTTTTCTTGGAGTCACGCGCTGTCCTGGTCTTGAGACCGGGGACGTTACGTCGAAAAAGGAGAGGTAAAGAGTAAGCTTCGGAACAAAACCAGAGGGTCTCAGAGACGACACGGAAAGGAAAAGAAAAGGGGATAAAGAAAATGTGCTTTAAAAACTCGCCGTGGGCTGTGCACCTCCCTCTCACTCTCTCTCCTCTCTCTTACACCCATGTCTATCACGCACCCCACCCCTCCTTCTCCACCTCCACTCCTCGACACAATTCTTCCTTCCGTCCGTTCACTTGTTCCTACCGCCTCACCCCCTCCTCGCCCTTTCCCTCCCCTTTTCCACACACAATTCTTTCCCCCTATTTTCTCTCTTGCCTCTTTCTTCCGCCTCTCCCTCCACCCCCCCTCCATCTCTCCCGCTCTCTCGCACACACATACACACACACACACACACACACATGCACGCGTGTGCGTGGCTCACGCACCTCTCATACAGACGCGACTAGAATTTCTTCCATACCAATCACAACTGTGTGTTGTTTCATCGATGAATCAATCGGGTCTAGTCCGTAGTCTGCACATTCCCAGCCGAGCGGACCGGGCTGGCAGGCGGCGTGGGCTCCACCCCCCACCGACCCGCCTGTCAGTTTTCCTTGTTCTATTTCCAAACTTGAATCGCACAGAGTGTTGTTTGAGGATAAAAAAAGAAAAAACAACTCTAAAGCATGAAGCGCGGAGCTTCGTCTCTGAGCTGCGTTTGAACCTCACCTCTCACCTGCACAACTAAGAGAGTTGAACATTTGCAAACGCATTACTACGGAGTTCAACACGAGGCAGGGCAGGGCAAAGTTCCGAGGGGAAAACTTCAGTGCGTAGCTTGCTCGCATCGAACGGGCGGCGAGCTTCGGCCGACAGAGGGCTTCAGCGCTTGCTGCTTCATCGGCGGGGTGCGAGCTTCGCGGCCGGCGGCGGAGCTCGAGGCTTCATCCGCGCGGGAGATGAGCCTCTTCCGTTATGTATATTCCTTTCGAATGTATTCAGTGAATACTTTGGAGGGATTGGCGCGCCGAGGGGATTCCGTGGATCAGGAAACCGCTCGGCTCGGCGCGGGCCCCACAGGGTGCGCCCCACAGGGTGCGCCCCATAGGGTGCGCCCCATAGGCCACGGTGCGGGCCCCATAGGGCGCGCTGCGCTGCGCGGTAAACCTGATGAGGTATCATCCGCGGGGGTGGGGCGGAGGGCGTGGGAACGCGGCGGAGCGGGCCGGGCGGCCGTGCCGTGCGTGGGTTCGAACGCACCCGATGCGCCGATCATGTATGGGGCGGGAAATAATGTTGTCTCTGACGCTCTCAGTCACCGTGCTGCTCCACACCGAGGCGGTTAGACCATGCGGCCCCCGACCGTGCTGAAGACCCAGAGATTGTATTGTAGGCCGTGCTATGATATACACTACACTCTATAAAATTATTTTAAAATCACAATGAAAAAGTTTTTTCAGTTTCTCCTTGTCAAAACGGATTAACAAATTTCCATGCAAGTTAAAGTGGGAAAAGTGGGAAAGTGCGGGAAAACTTTGTAAACGTACAAAGTATTTCTGTTCGTTAACAGAATAAAATCCTTAGTTTACAAAGTAAGCTCTGCATTCTGTGAAAGAACAAGAGTGCTTTGTAAATAAAATAACCAGCGAGTTAATTTACAAACATTTTTACGGTGGTTTACTTATCCCCCTTGTTTTCTTGTCAGGGCTGGGGGGGGGGGCAGATCTGCATGACGTCTGCGCGGTGCCGCGATGGAACATGGGTGGTTCCTGCTTTTACGCCCGCGATTCGCGAAGGGCTATATGGGACTCAGTGTCCAGGAGGAGGGACGCTTCGTTCTAACCGCCTCGGTATGAAGGCCGTGCTGGGGAGGCCGTGCTGGCTGAGGCCGAGCCGAGTCGTATACGTATTCAGTTTCCTGAAGGCCGTACAGGCCGCGTAAAGGGCCTAAAAGGACGGGATGCACACCCATCTGTAGCTGGAGGACGGCCTGTAGGCCGCGGGCTGAAGAACATGCTGCGGATGCTCAGCTGGAGACACACACAAGGAATACTGGAGGGCTATATGCTTGGTTGTTATTCGACTCCCTGGAGTCTGGTGCTCTTCTTGCCTGGCGCCTGGAACGGGAGCAGCAGTAGCGCCGCTTGCGCGGAGAAGCTCAGTTCGGCTACACTGCTACACAGCTTTGAGCCGGCCGCAGCACTTCCTTGCCAAACCCTTTCAGCCACCGCGATGGCATCCATGAGGAGCAATCCTCCAGGTTGCTTCATCCTCCATCCGCAGCTCTGCTCAGCTCTGCTCAGCTCTGCTCCGCTCACCGCCTCCCTGCCCAGTGCCAGACTGCCGGCCCGGCCCGCCCCATCTCAGGTTTCGCGTTCGATATGATGCCCGGCCATGCCGATACGATTGCTGCTGGCAAGCCCGCTGTCCACATCGCAGAACGAGTGGGAGTGAGAGAGTGGCAGTGTAGCCGCTCGCCAACGGTGTCTTTCCTTATCCATTTCTTTTTTCCACCCCTCCCTTTGTCTCTTTCTCTCTGCTGATGCTTCATTGTGTTTTTCCCCCAGCTCTCCCATTAGATTTTCCCTTTGCGCCGCTCTTCACTCTGTTCTTTTCTCTTTTCCACCTGCATTTGTCTCTTCTCGGCCCCTTTCTTTTCACACCATCTCTCCCCTCTTCCGTATCTGCACACTCTTCCTCAGAAAGAACTGATGCTCCCCCCCACCCCCTCCCTCTAACCTCCTCGCCTGCTGTCACTCCACTGCCTCTCTCCAGAGATGACAGACACGCATTTGCTGCAGCCCCCGTGTTCCTGGCCTCCTTGCGGTGCTCCGCGCGCGAAGGGTAGTTTCTTTGGGGCGCCCTGCGCGCACCCCCGAGACACCCTCTGGACGCCCCCGGCGGCTGCAGTCGGCTTCGCGCGAACGTGCGAGGTAGAGGATGGGTCCCGGATGGAGCCGGGGCAGTGTCTTGCTGTCTGGGGCCCCAGTAAAGTTCTAGTAGAGTCCTGGTTAGGTTTCGGTAGAGTCCTAGGGGACCCCGGACCTGCCGTAGCAATGATATAGTTCCTGGCCCAGGAGAGTCCTGGCAGGGTCTTGGTAGAGTCCTTGTATTATCCTGGCGGAGTCCTGGGGTAATCTCAACAGGGTCTTTGGTGAAATCCAAGCCCTGGCGAGTTGCTGGCGGAATCGTAGAAGAGTTCTTAGAAGACCCTGTAGCGATCATGAAGTCCCTGGTAGAATCTTGTCAGAGTCTTGGTGGAGTCCTGGTAGAGCCCTGCTGGAGCCCCAGTGGAGCCGCAAGGAGCCTGGGTGGAGCCCTTCGTACATGGCTGGGACGGTGGTTATTAGCGGGACTCAAATCAATACCGGGCCAACACACATGCTCCTTGGCGCGGCCGCCGCCTTCGGCCGCCGAGCTGAGGCACTACTTGGAGGAGCGCTGGTCGCTCTCCTTCGCCTCCCGCCTTGTTCCCCCGGGCGGAGCCGGGCAGAGCGAACGAACTAAAAGACCCCCTCTCTCCCCCTCTCGTCTCTCCCCGCCCCCCTCCTCGCATGTCTCTCCCTCTCTGTCCTTCTCCTTCGTGCTCTGCCCCCTTTCGCCGTTTCCTTCTCTCTCAGCCATTCAACATCGGGATTGGATGTTTGCGTTCCCTTTTCATTTTTCTCATTTTTCCCCTCAAAATGGTGCGCCCCCTCCGCCGCCCGGGGTCCACCCCCTCCCC